TCACATCTGTCCTGACAAAACAGCTTCCAAAATTTGTTTTGTTTTGGCCCTGTTTTACACTTTTCAAACCACCTTGTAGCCAGAAGATCAATGTGGAGCCACAACATGCAGTCAACTTCCTGAACCACCAACTCATCAGAGATGGTGTAGTAACCAATGCCCCTGTAGCATCATACCATACTATGCCATTTTTATTTATAGAGCACTTTAAACACCCACGGAACCAAAGTGCTGTACACATAATAAAACATGCATACATTCATAAAATCAGTAAAAACATAAAATAAACACTACAAATTGTGTTCAAAGGCCAGAGAGAAGAAATGAGTTTTAAGAAGAGATTTGAAAACAGACAGGAATGACACCTGCCTGATGTCCAAAGGAGGATTTTGTTCCAAAATTTAGGAGCTGCCACATTAATCATCACCATTAATGACGCTGGAAATTTTTGAAATTAGATTCCATTATGCCCAGAACTAAAAGAAACCTCTTGGTACAGATCTAGCCACGTGGCAGTGGTGCAGTGGGTTCAAAGGATGTTTCTCTAACCTTCGTGTTGACGAACCCACCGTCAGTCTTAGAGAACACCTGTTGAACACAGAACTTTTCATAACAATCACAGTTTGATGATTTTGAACATTATAAATACTAAAAGTTAGAATATTAGTTCCAAATACTTTGCATTATAGTTGTGTTTTTATGTTGATTTTATTGTTCATTATTTCTTTCATTTAAATCTTTGTTAATCATACCTTAAAAGGCAATGTTGGTATATTTCAATAGCATCTCTTATAATAGTGGATCTCCAGGTTATGGTAAAAAAAATCTTATTAAATAATAAGAAATCAATTTTAATATCTAATCTAACTGTTGTTGATTGAGAAATTAAATCTGGTGTCTCATTTTAATGAGCGCTTAAAGCAGTAGCAAAGTCAACTTCCCCCTTTTTACATCTTCTCGTTACAGCAGCTTTAAATTTACTAAGAATGCCTTTTTAATTTAGAAAAGTATTTAGATATGTATTTTTAACATGTAAATGGATTAGTTAGTGTTTTTGACTAGTCTTCAGATCAAACAGGAGATCTGCTAAAATGATCCATACAGTACTTGTAAGTATACTTAATGAGCTCAGCCTCTTTTGTTTTCAGCAATAACAGGGCTTGTGTGTGCTGGCGTCATATCTGCTGGTTGAACTATTTTTCTTACATTTCCACATGAAATCCTTGATAGACCAATATAGGTGAGCCATGAACATGACATATGGCACATTTTTGTCCACATCCAATAATACCATGGCTGCAACAGGAAGTAGTGTCCACAGTAATGACTTTCACTAGGCTGGATGTGTGTTGATCTCAGCTGTGGAAGAGCCCTGCTTTAAAGGTTGTCGTATCGATTCAGCGCTCTGAAGTTTTTCCCGGAATTGAGGGAAAACTTTGCATGAGCCGAGAGGCTTGTGCTCGCAGCTCCCCAGGGTGGAAGTCCGATGCAGACGAACCAAAAGGAGCACCCACACTATAAAGACGCGAGCTCACGCACCGACGCATGTACAGCAGACACACTCATGCGCACACAGAGATACGGTGGTTGTACGAGACACGCAAAACACTCAAACATGCATCGTGTCAGGATAACTTACTCACAACTCAACCTGTCGTGTTTTAAAAGATGGATGGTTAAATGAATTTGCATTCAGAAGAGAGTGGCTGCCCAAAAATATTATGTCATTTAACCTTTGTTTAAGCCAAACTTAAACTAAAAGAAACAACAGGTATGAGAAAGGAACACCCACGCATATTAATGGTTAATAATAACCTTTTTACAGAACTCCTGTAAAGATCTGAATGATAGCTTTACTGATGCTGTTCTAATAGAACAGGGCTCTGCAACCTTTACGATGAAAAGAGCTGTTTCTGCTACTTGGCTCACTAATAACGTGTTCAGAGCCGCACAAGAGGATAAAACTGTGATTATCAACTGGTGGTTCGTGGACCTTTTCAAGGCCTTTTCAGGAACCTTTATGGCCAGTGTAGGCGACATTATAAAACTAAAAAAATTTATTGTGAATTTTATTATTTGTTATTATTTTTGCACATCAGGACAAATGAAAAGACTATGTTTGTGTAAACAAGAAAAACACTGTATAGCTTTTAACAAATTTCATAAAAACTAGTTCAACTGAACTATTCATGTACATATTTTTTTCAAATTCTTATTATTATAGTTTTCAAATTCTTTAAAGGTAATTCTGATGGATTTGAGAGAAAAATCATAGAAAGAGGTTTGATTATTTAAGTAAACACCAGGCTAGCATGAGTTAACATGTTTTATCTTTTGTATTAGTATTGATCACATATTTGCATACACATTGATTTCTGTTGTGAGTATAAAAACTGTTGGTCACATTTTCAAAGAGCCACTGCAGAGGGACCAAAGAGCCACATGTGGCCCCAGAGCCGCAGGTTGCAGACCCGTGTAATAGAATAATACACGGCTACATTAAGCTTTAGTGGGAATAGTTGGCTTGGCTCACATGAACCTGTGGTGAGACCTCTTCTGTTCTACAACAAAACATGTCGACAAAAAACACAAAAGTTCTTTTCATGATAGTGACTAACTGTTGAGTAATGATCAGTTTGTACTCTCAACAACACTCCTCCTCCTGATTATTGTACAGTTCACTCTTTTATTTATTTTTACCTGAACAGACCTGATATGATCCATCTCCATTTGGACTTATGGACTGGTTTTATCTACCAAAGCAAACACAACTTACACCTGACACACATTAAAGACTTTGGGTTCAAACGTACGTCAGCACTACCTTCATGAGCAAAAGAAGAATTTAAAAGAAAATTTTGATAAATAGTTAAATCCTTGATTGAATTCTTTAACCACCTCCTCTAAGTTTCACAATTTTACCAAAAAAGAAAAAGAAAAAAAAGAAAAGAAAAAAAAACAGAACTGTTTACACTCTTGGGGGGGGGGGGGGATAAGTGTTCACTGTAAGTTTTCCAGGGCTCCAGATATGCAGATGGCAAAGCGAGCGCAGAGATGTGGCTGCAGGAGTCCTGGCAGCTGTCTGTTCAGCAGTGATTTAGTGGCTGACAAGGCTGAACCATGTGGCTCAATAGCACTAAAAGGCTCATCCTCTCTAATGGGGTTCCTCTATGACGCAGATGTAGAGAAGCAGCCCCTCCCCTTTCATTTACTCTGACATATAGCCTCATGCGCACACGCCTACTGGATTGTTCATTCAATTTATCCACCGTGCAGCAACAATGAGTACACACAGAAAGATGTACACATATTTCAAGCATGCTTGCCTGTGAGAAATGTTTCAGGTATACCCACACCCACCCCCCCACACACACAGACCTGCACACTAATGAAAAGGCAGGGCAATGAGACAATTGTGTATGACAAACACTTGTGTAATTGCTTTTGAGAAACGACTCTTGTCGCACGTTTTCATCGATTGGCCGTTTGCTCGGTGCGTGGGAGGAGGCCCGGGCAGCACTGATCATTACTGGGCAGTCTGTGGTATCACTTTAGTGCTAATATGGTTCCAGGTTTCACTCCAGAGACAAGACAGGTTGTCAAACTTTGCTTCCGCTTGACTGCAAATGAAGCGTGTGCAGTCCCTGCAACGAGAGGGGAAAACGTTGTAGGATGCATATATATTTGATTGATTTCAAATAATTTAATTGAAAGTTTTTTGCATGACTAGTGCTTCAAATTTCAAATATCTGTTGCTGCAAGTTAAATTAATAATAAAAAAGATGATTGGTTGATTGAGTGTCGTCCATAATAAGACAAAACAAAGTGAAGGTAATGGGTAAAGTTGGTATTCTTCAAACATCGTTATGAATGAAGAGTTCAGAAATGCGTCACTGTGTAGTATACATCCGTTCCCAGCAGATGGCCCCGCCTGCAAGTGCTTACTCAGGAGAGTGGTGGTGCTGGTCCAGGGGTGGGGTTGGGGTGTCCTTATTGATTTGCATTACAGGTTCAAATGTAGCATTTTTGGAAACTTTTTAAAAAAGTTTTTTTTTCTTTCTGCTGGCGTTTCTCTACAGACACCAGGGTCGCTTTACCTCCTATTTAATTAATGACATCAATGCAAAATGGGACAGCAAACAGTCCAAATGGCTGGTGGATTTTGTGAATGGGGCACTTAGTGACTGAGCAATGACGTCAGCACCAAAGTCATATGCCTTTCTGGTGAGCCAAGACTGAAGCGGAGGCGTCCCATTGGCTCGTCGTAGCATCAGCGCCACCGGATTGGCCGGTGGCGGATAATTAAACACCTACACAGTCAATGCACAAATCCAAGTGGTGGGATATATAGGCTGGTGGTTGGCGTTGCATGCAACAGTCAAGAGTTGTTCTGCAAGTTCAGAGAAAGCCAACTTATTGTGATTTGCACAGGCATTCATAGAGATTTATATTTATTTACAATTTTTTTCCCTTGCTGGCTGATCATCACTGAAGGTAAGTGTTGACTCTTACTGTTGTTTCAAGGCAACAAACAGGAAAAAAATATTTTAACCAGGATAGTCAGTTGAGAACAATGTCTCTTTTTTTATAACAACCTTTTATAATGAATGCATTTCCACTTTTATGCATGCAAAGCAGAGATGCTGTGATGGGATGTTGTTGGAGACAGAGTGGAGCATCCATGCTAAAATGGTTCATTCTTCTGCTTTAGTGCCAACAAAGAAAAGCTAGGAAAGACAAGAAGAGAGGCTTTCAACTAAAAAAAAAAGGCTAAAGGACTGATATAATACAGAGAAAACTGGGCTCAACTTAGTGAGTGTGTGTGTGTGTTTGGGTAAAACAGTGCTGGCAGCTCATTACACTAATGCACTGGTCCCTTAGGGAGTTGGCAAGCTTTGGAGTATCCCTCACCACCCCCACCCCCACACCACACACACCTTGCTTTCCACCCCTCCTCTTCCAGCAAGCGTTGCCTCCATTGCACATAGGACCCTTACGTCCCCTTTCTCTTTCTCACTCAAACACACACACACACACACACACTGCTACCTGGAGGCACGCCACACCTGCTGCGTATGACATGAGAGAACTACATGTCCTGTGCTCACAGCTGGATATGTTGGAACAGCGCGTTTTTGATGAAGAGGAGCAGAAAGATTGAGGGTGCGTGTGTGTGCGTGAGGACGTTCAGCAGGAGACCGAGGTGTGGGGGTAAAACTGAGCTCACCTTTTTGATGTACCAACTTCTTCCCTGCAGAAAGAGACAAGAATTGAGGAGCATCAAGTAGATCTAGGTACATTTTGTGGACAACAAGCTGATTGTCTTTTTTTTTTTTTTTACTTAGGGGACCATGGTTATGTTGAAGATCTCTGCTTTCCTTGTTGCCTATGCCCTGGTCATTTGCCAGATGTACTGCTCACAAGCCGCCCCCGCCAGGTGAGACACTCAACATTTACTGGTCACTCTTGAGACTCTTGCCAGTTTAACACCAGCACTAGATGCGCAGAAATGCAACCATAAGAAGCGCGGGGATCAGAAGCAACTGGTTTGTTGCGACAAAGTTTTCAGGATGCATCGGTGCAAAACGTCACAAATGATTTACGTGTTGTACATTTTAATTTTCTGACTTTCAGGTTGTAAATTTGAGCCGATCTGGTAAACGTTTGGTTGAAAACACACTGAGGTCTCAGCGTTTTAACTTTTTCTTCTGCGATGTTAGTTTGTTAAAACAAGACTTTTTCAGGACGTTTTCTTTCAGGTGAACAAACTTTAAAATTTTTTTTGTCCCCCCATAAACTAACACGTTATAGCAGATAAATGAAACTACCAAGTTTAACTTAAGAATCACACTGGTAGAACAGAACAACAACAAGAAAAAGTAATGTGCTTCAGAGGGAGATGATGGAGACATATATATCTATATGAAGTCCCTTTCCAGCCACTCCCCGGACTGTTCTCATGAATCGATTGATTTTGTAATAAATATAAAGCTGCTTGGACATCAGCCTCACTGCCCCTCCCCTTTTTTTTATCAAATGGGGGCACTTTCCGCTGATTGTTTCCCCCATGTTGGCTGCCGGCCCTCCAACTCAGACGTCATCCCTTTCAGAGGGTGGTGACGTCTGAACCCCTTCCCCCCCCTGTCTTTTCCAGCCGTCCTCCTTCGCCACCAGCACCCTTACCCCATCCCACCCCCCCCACACGTATCCCAGTTTGACTTTATTTTATTTTTTGTAACATTAACACTGACCTGAAACCCTCTGTTCACCCCTGACCCTCCTCCCCCCGACGTGTCTCTCCCCCCACAGACCAGGTTTAGAGTCGATGTCAGACCGAGTCACGCTCACGGACTACGAGGCGCGAAGGCTACTAAACGCCATCGTCAAGGAGTTTGTTCAGATGACAACAGAGGAGCTGGAGCAGCAGGCGACTGAAGGAAACAGGTACATTTAACTTTTATGGACTGTTCTACTCTTTTTTTTTTGGTACTTCAGAGGAAAATGTATTTAAACATATATGCATAAATATAAAAGGTAGTTGAGAAAGACAGACAGGGAAAGCCGTTCAAAACTTGTCTGCAATGTTAGAGGCCTCATCGTGTTTTGGTTTCACTTTACTGACTGTGGATGCAGCTACACTTCTATGATACGTCAATACCTTAGAAAGGTATGTACTTCCTAAGACAAAAAAAAATGAGACCAATTTTTTTCTGGAAAAAAAATAGCTCAAACTAAAAAAACAACAAATCTATATTCTCTGTCATGACCCTGCTCCTGCATGGATGAGTTTGACTTCTTGTGAACAGATTATTACTGCCTGCCAGGCATGTGAACACACTAATTGGACTGAAAAAACAAACAAAAAAAAAAGTGTGCATGATGTCAGTTAAAGGAAGCTGCATGCTTTAAGAAGCAACTGTGGGTGTAGAAGACGCAGGACTCTCTGGGGTGGGGTTTCTTGTAGCGCATGATGGAGTGACAGGTTCTGATTCTTTAAAAAAAAAGTAAAAAGCATGATCCTGTGAGGGTTTGGGATTTTTTTTTTTAAATTTTCTCTTTCATACAGCGGTGATGGCATGAGATGTAGAAACGCATGAGAGAATCAGTGTGGATAAGCGAAGCGAAGGACGAGACAGAAAGAGGAAGAATGTTCTACCTGCATGGTTTTGGTTTTTGCCCACATCTATGAGCCTGTTCTCTGCATGTCTTTTTTTGTGTGTGTGTGTGTCCCCTCCCCAACAGCATGGACAGGCCCCTAGCCAAGCGCTGTTCCAACCTCAGCACTTGTGTGCTGGGCAAACTGTCTCAGGAGCTGCACAAGTTGCAGACATTCCCTCGCACGAACGTGGGAGCAGGAACGCCCGGCAAGAAACGCAGCGCTCCCGAGAGCGACAGCTATGCAAGCTATGGCGAGACGTTTGACAGCATCTAACCCTGTTTTTTCCATCTCTTCCTTCGTTCCCCAATCTCCTTCCTTCTCCCTCCCCATCCTCGTCCCTTTTCCCTCCCAACATTTTCCATATTTGCAAGTGCATGCTGACTTTACCTGCTTGATTGACATGAGAGGGAAGTGATGTTTCGTTTCTTTTACTCTTTTCCCGCCCTTTTTTTTTCTTTGGCAGAGAATGTTTCTCCCTCTTTTTAACTCAGACAATCAGACTTTATTTACTCCAGTGTAATTTAGGGACCACTTCAGACATCTGTCTTTGTGTACGTGGACTTTAATGACATTGAAGACGCTTTGAAAGCTACGAGTTGAGAAAGATCACCTAATCTAATCATCAATAAACGATCCACTCATGCGACACCATGTTTGTTGTTCAATAAACGTATTTTTCTACCAGGACGCTGTAGCTCATTTTTTATTTTTATGAGCGCTAAAAGTTAGTACAAGAAAAAAAAAAAGTCCCTAAAATGATCCGAGAAGTTCTCACCAAATCCGCAGGTAAGACAATCGGTGTTACATGTGGCGGATGTCCCTGTGCTGTGGTGTCGTCTGTGTTTTGAGAATAATTGGATGAACGCCACATCAGATCCTGGCGTTAACCCCCGTTTGCTCTCCTGAAGCAGCGTTACAGCACAGAAACGAGCCTGCAACACAGCGACCTGCGTGACCCACCGCCTGGCGGACTTCCTCAGCCGATCAGGAGGAATGGGCAACAGCAACTTCGTCCCCACCAACGTCGGCGCCAAAGCCTTCGGCAGGCGAAGGAGAAGCATTCAGATGTGAGCGCTCCAACACCTTCAGGGAAATGGTAATTACAGACGACTCGATACAGTATATATATATANATATATAACTTATCACATAAATCGTATTCATCTCCTCTTTTTTCCTCTCTCCTTTTTGTCTTTCAGGTTGACGACTTGAAAAGAAATCATCAGAAAAATAAATAAAAACAAAACAAACAAACAAACAAAAAAAAAAACCCTGTGAACAAAAATCTATAGAAACACGATTAAACAGAAAATACTGAACTGGCCCTTTATCCAATCTTTCTCATCGCTACAGAAAAACAAAACATTGTTTTATCCCCATTTTCATCCTGTTAGTGAAACGTTTTGCTTTTGGCAACTTAGAGAGAAAAAAAGAGGAAAAAAAAGCACTTTACTTTATGTACATGAACAAATGAACTCCTTAAGAAATAAGGGAAAAAAAAACATCCCAATGATTTCCTTTTATACATAAAACTTATTGTAAAATAAAATGAAAACAGCAGTGGTTATCATTTTTCTTATTTTCAATCTGTCATCTTGTCAGAGCACATTTTCCACCCCCTCCACATCTCACTCCAACACCTCCCGTTGTTCACCTTCTTCCAGAGGGTCGCCTGCTTTTCCATGCTCCAGAGGGACGCCATTAAAGATCCGCCTCCCCAAGGCCACCCCCCTACCCTACCCCCATACACACACACAACGGCTGTTGTCTTTGTGCCTTGATGTAGAACAATTTACACGAACATGATTGTAGAGCTCTGTTTCCAGGTTCCCAAGCGAGGAAGAAGAGAATGAAAATGCATTAATATTGTAAACAATATTGTGAAGAAAAAAACAATTTCAGCAAGATTAAAATGTATTTTAGATACATTCGGGTTTTGGGTACTTGTGTTGTTCTTGAAAGGCTTTTGCACAGAGATCATCAAACTTCAGTTTGTGCTGTTGGTATTACAAAATACTGCTCCTAAGTTAGACATAAAAACACAGAATAACTTTTGATACACTGGTTTGAGAATAAATGGTTGAATGAAATGTAGTAGATGAAATTTGGATGTTAAATCCACAGTCATGCACATTATTAAAACAACTCTTTCATTGAGAGTATTTATGACTCACACTAGCAGAGTTATGTTTAGATGCATGGGGGGGGGGGGGGGGGATGTTTAATAAAAGGCACCCAAACCTGTAGATATACTTGTTCTTCTTTAGCTCCATATAGGTGAACATAAGGATGTTACACAAACACTTACAAAGAAAATATTAATATTCTGCGAGAGATTCAGGTATTCCCAAACACACTTCTTTTTACTTTTACTAATAAACTTAGTACAAAAATAAGGGAAAATTTGTTTGTTTTGTTGTAAAAATGCATCTTGGCAATAAATCTTATACTGTTGGAAAGCCTGTTTAAATGGTGCCACATTTGTAAGGAACATGCATTTGCAGGATGAGCAGTAGAGCTGAGTATGTGGGTTGCATACATAAAATAAAGCCAAATCATCTTTGTCAAACAGCTTATTTTGCTGTTGTTATTGACAATTTTTGAGCTTTTGGTGCACCCAGGTCCTGCCAATCAGATGCCTGTTATAAGATTTATTGCCAAGAAGCATTGTTACCAAAAAACATACATTTCCTTACTTTTATAGATTATAATATAGATTAAATGAGGAGGGTGGCTGAGCATTTTGAAGTTTGCTTGTTTTTGCAGCTGCACTCCAATAGATGGCAACCTAATTATCTTGACCAAAAGTTTTCGAGGAGCTCTGCAGAATCTCAACAAGACAAAGCTTTAAAAGAGACTCCTCCATAACTAATGTAAAGCTTGCAGCTGTTTCTGTACATGTTACACAAATGATCTAAATAACAAGGAACATTTCAACTCTTTAGACAGATTTGATTTTCATCATAACCAAAAATGTTTCAAAAAATCTGGCAAACGGCCACACCTGTGTGTGAATAATCATTTTTAGCTAGCAGAAAAAAGACACACATGTTTAAAACGAAGGCCCGTGGGCCAAATTTGGTCCCCATTACCATTTTATCTGGCCCCAATGGCAGTACTTTAAATGTAAAATAGCTTTGTTGTTTCTCTTTTTGTCTGTTTATTTAGTGCATTCTTCTTGCGACAGTTGGCCAACTTCAAAAGAAAGTTTGAGTTTTTCAGTTATCTTTGATTTTGGTGTGGAGAAAGTAACAAACAATCTTCTATAATTATCTTTTGTTGTATTCTCTTATTATTTTAAAGTCAAAAATTGCATTTTAGAGAGAGCTTTTTTTCCATTTTTAACCTGATTTGCTGCATTGTGATAAGATCAATGAAAAAGTTGATAGAAATAAGAGAATGCTAATGATAAGTAAGTAAATTTAATCTTTGTATTTATCTGTTAGGTTCTATAAGGTATAAAACAATCTGAACAAGGTCAGCTGCATTTCTTTAAGAATAATTTGTTATATAACATTGTTTCTATAACCATTGACAGATATTCAGTCTTGGCTTTGAACAAGTTTAGATTTTTTTCCTTTTGTTTGATTGAGTTTGACACCCCTGTTAAATTCATGTTTAACTGTAATAAAGCAATTATGCTTTTTCAAATTTTGGTCAAAACAAAACAAACTGCTGTATATACCATCGGTCAGGGGTTCTCAATCCATTTTGGTCTGGGGACCCCTTATATGGGCGAAAAAATAGGTACCTCCTTGTAAACCCCATGCAGTTTTAAAAGATAATTCATTGTCATTTCAACCCCTAAATGCTATGGGAATATATAGTTTTATTAAGTTTATTGTTTGTTTCATTAGTTCATTGTTCTTCATGTATTTTTGAAAATAAAAACCAAATTAACATTTTAGTAAAAAATTTTGAGGACCCCCGAGATACCTCTCGCAGACCCCTGGGGGTCCAGGGACCCCAGTTTGAGAAACTCTGCCATAGGTCATCGGCTGCCCAGATTTCTAAAACTACAGGGAAACATAAAGAAACGCTTCAGTTAAAGTGGTGTATTTAGCAAAAGAAACTAACATTCAAAATACTTTATTTTAGGAACTTCAAGCTGTGTTTTTTTTTTACACACATGCGAGGCAGAGATCATAGCACTCACTGCGTTCTGCAAATGGTTTAAGATATTTTCAGGTGCCGCCTTTTCAGAAGATTCGAACGGCAGAAAAGTCATATGAGGATAAACATGAAAGCCTTTTGGTTTTGGACAATAGACATAACAGTGGGATCAAATTCGGAGAATCATGAGCTCATTTAAAAAGAAGGTGAGTGAATAAGAAGATCTATTTGATCCTGTCAGGTTACACAGACCCATGTCATGTGTGCTCCAGAGTAAATATTTGACCCTGTGTGCTTCGGGCTCCAGCACACGGCTGTTTGCACTGATGAAATAAACGCTCATATTGTTACACATCAAACTCAACTCAAATGTTATTTGAGGAATATTTGGGGAAATTTAAAAGGCAGACATTTTAAAGAGCATTTAAAAACCCGACTGTGTGACATTATTTCCCACATGAGACAGCATGGTGGCCTCATATGAGAACTTCTGCTATCAGAGCAAATGTAAAAATCTGGATTTTTCTCCCCTCAAGTCTTAAAAACTTGTCATCTGTCATTGGTTTTTACAGTTTTTCCACTCTCTCCCCATCACAATTTCTTTTCTGCGTCTTTGCCTGTCTGGAGAGAATAAGCCCAAAAGTCAGAGCAATGCTGAAATCCTCATGGAAATATTTCCTGCATGGCTGAAAAGAGAGGAAAAAAATCAGCTCCTTCTTGATAATTGAGGGGGTCGAGAGGTTGGGGCCTGATTTGTGGGACTGGTTTGGTTTCAAACTTCTTTCTTAGCAGTAATCTAACATCCCACATTTTGCAAACGAGAGAAGCAGTCCTAATGTCCCGCAGCTGCTTTGAATGGGGCCCTGCTAGCATAGAATTAAACAGCTCATTCAATGGAAAGTAAGAAATTAGCCCCCATCTCTATAGAGAGGACGTGCCACTGGTCCAGTTCCCAGAAACCCACACCACAAACCCCATTTTCAAACTTATGGTTTTGGAAGATGTTTCCTTATAATGCTTGAAAAACTAAATTGATGGTAAGAAAAAACCCAGAGCTGAAGTCATCACAGGTTCTGCTGCTTAAAAATATTTTATTTTTTAACTAAGACCCAGCTATAACTTTTATCAGCACCATTTTCCTCACAGAGAACAGTTTTTTGTCAGACTTTTCGATTCTAGTTTAAAATCAGGAACGTTTGTTTCTCCATTGTTAAAACTGACATAATTATTTCTTCTCGAAATGTAACTTACTATATTGTTTTTAAAAAGTAAATGAAAATACGCTGATTGAACCACGTGTCTGTTCTCAAATACATTACTCACAACAAGTTAGGGATATTTGACTTTCAGGTGAATTTTACGGAAATTGTAAAAAGTTCACGCTACAGTGATATCATATCATAAAAGTAGGACATTTAAGTAAAATAATGCACTGCTGATTTACTCATCTCAAGCAATTTACTGAAACAAAAGTTAACAACAATGGTGGGTACACCACAGCAAAACATTTCAACATCTCAATAACACGTCATGTGCCCTTGAGCATCAATTACAGCTTGACAACGACGTCTCATGTTGTTCACAAGTCGACTTATTGTCTGCTGGGATATGGCATCCCCTCTTCTTGAAGGACAGTCCTCAGGTCATTGAGGTTCTGGGGTGCAGGATTTCGAGCCTCTACAAGGCGACTCAGCTGATCCCACAGGTTTTCAATGGGATTCAGGTCTGGAGAAAGTGCAGGCCATTCCATTTGAGGTACACCAGTCTCCAACAGCCGTTCCCTAATGATGCGACCTCGATGAGCATTGTCGTCCATGAGGATGAAATCAGGCCTGTGCTGTTCATGTAGGGGCACAATCACTGGATTAATAATGTTATTCAGGTAGTATGGGCTTGTCACTGTACCGAATGGAGACACCTGCCCACACTGTAACATCGCCACCACCAAAAGCTCGTCTGGTGACAACAGTGGCTGATGCACATCACTCTCCTTGACGTCTCCAACATCACTGGCGGCCATCATTTCTGCTCAACGTGAATCGACTTTCATCAGAGAACGGCACTGAGGCCCACTGGTATGTCATCCAGCATAAATGCTCCCTGGCCCATGCAAGACGATGACGCCTGTGTCTGGTGGTGTGGTCAGGTGCCCTTGCAGGTCGTCTAGCATGCAGACCACGCTGATGTAATGGGTTTTGAATGGTCTGACGTGACACATGGGTGCCTCTCACCTCTCTTAACTGTGCCTGGAGTTGAGTGGCATTCATCATCTGGTTTCTCAGGGCATTGTTCACAATGTAGCGGTCATCAGCATGGGATGTGGCTAAATTACGTCCACTTCTACACCTTTCTGTGACTCTTCCAGTCACTCGGTATCTCTGTTGCAACCTGATGACACTCTGGGACACTCTAAGCTCAGTGGCCACGTCCGTCTGAGAACATCCTGTTTGAAGCATCCCAATGGCAAGGTACTGTTGATCCATTGTTAGGTGTCGTCTTGGTCTCATGATGTCAATATGTGAACAGCATGATGAGGACGACTGTTTAAACACCAGCTCTAATTGAACCAGGACATTTATTGGTCGATTCAAGGATCAAACACCTGTTGTGAATTTTGCCGTTAAGCTCCTCATTAGAAAACAGCAACTTGTGCAAAAACAACTGAAACATTTAACAGTTGGATATATGCATTCAAAAGCTTAGAGAAGGTCACATCAAGTTCACCTGTAAAGGTTTAAATGAATTTTAGGCTCATCCTGAAATTTCACCCAAAAGACTGAAAATCCCTAACGTTTAGTGAGTAATGCATGTTATGTTATCTATGTGATTTTGAGCAAATATATTGTATTTTGGAACACCCATAGCAGGGATGGGCAACTTAAATGATGAAAGGGGCCACAGTAACCAGCAGAGGGTCAAGTATGTAGTGCTGCACACTTACACAAATGTAATAAATCTGCACTTTTAAAAATGTTCTGTGTAGTTATGTTTATTAAACCAACATACTGTGCAGTAACTTCATATATTTCATGCTCAAATAGTTAAAGTTGTACTCCTGTTTA